CCAGCGCAGGGAAACGCCGGACCCGCCCCTCGCCCCGCCCGGCGGGACTCCGGACCGAGTCACGGGGCCGGCCTGCTCTCTGGCGCCGCCTGCCGGACCGCGCGAGCGGGACGCGTCTGGCCCGAGCCTTGGGCCCCGCACCTGTGGGGGGCCGCTGCCCACCAGCGCAGCCCGCTTCCCTCCTGTGCTCACCCGGCCGCGGCTCCTCTGCAGTCTCGTCTGCTGTCCGCACCCGCCTGCCCTTAACGCACCCTGGCTTCCGCACAGGACTAGGGGCCACAGGCCTCAGCTTTAAGCCTACTTGTCCATGTCTAGATGGTCCCGGTCCTAGGACTCCTCCAGAGCTGTCTCCGGTACTGGAGAGCTGTCCACCCAACGTGTCACTCGGAGTCATAAGGAAATGCATCCTGGGACCTGAGGCCCTGGCTCTAATAATCGCTGTCCAAACTCCGCAAATCCAAGTGGTTCCCCAGTGCGTCCCATTTTATCTCTGTTTAAACCAGAACTAGTGATCCCGGTACAGATGGGGCTCATTCATTCCTGCAGTCCTCGCATTTGACAGTCTAGTGGGTGCGAGACATGGTGAAGAGCTCCCCGAATCAAACCATTCCCCTCTTCCGAGCCGAAGGCAGCTTTCTCTCCCTTGGCTGCGTCCTTCCTGTCCCCAGGACTGAGTTCTTTCCACAAGTCCTCCCAAATATACCCCTACGCAAAGCACTCCCAGCCCACCAGAGCCCCTGTCTGACCACTAGTCTCTCTCCCTGGCTGAACTTGAGTGGCCTGGAGACCGGATGGCATGCTCCTCACTCCTGGAACAGGGAGGTGCCAAAGTACCTGTCCTCACAAACATTTACTGCCTATTGGGGACGCAGGCCTCCCCCACTATGATGATAGCCAAATACTGGATGCTGGTCAGGAGCAATTATGCAACCTACTGGGCACATGTAATGCTCACAGTGATGCTGGGATTTGGTACTATTTTTAAACACATTTAAACTAAGGTATAAAACACAGTACACTTTATGAAGCATACTTACTTCAATGTTTGATGGCAGTCTCAGCCACTTGGGAGGATACAAGGCAAGAGGATCACTGAGCCCAGGAGTTCCAGGACAGCCTGGGCAACATATTGAGAACCTATCTCAAAAAAATTTTTTAAAGTATGAATACACCCATATAAACACTGAGGTCAAGGCATAGAACATTTCTCACACTCCAAAAAGTACTTAATGATCCTTCTCAACCAATAACCTCTAAGACGCCTGAGTAGTGGCACGTGGCTGTAATACCAGCAACTAGAGAGAGAGAAAGGCAGGAAGACTACAGGTTTGAGACCAGCATGGGCAACTTATAAAGACCCTGTCACAGCCAGGGGTGGTGGTACACGCCTGTAATCCTGGAACTCAAGAGACTGAGGCAGGAGGATCACTATGAGTTCAAGACCAGCCTGCACTACATAATGAGACCCTGTCTCAAAAAAAATTTTTAAAGGGCTGGGAGGGCCGAAGATATAGCCCAATGGCACAGCACCTGCTTGGCAAGCATGAGGTCCTGAGTTCAATTCCCAGTACCAAAAATATTTTTTTCTAGTTGAAAGGGCTAGGACTGTAGCTCAGTGCTAGCATGTGCAAGGCCCTAGGTTACTTCAGTACCAAAACAAAGGAGAGAAGACAGGAGAGGGGAGGGGAGAGGGCAAGAAAAGAACAGAACTCAGATAGTAGCTATTCTGATGGATACCAATATAACTCACTTTGAACCCTGTATAAATTGTCACTCTCGTTTTACAGAATAAGAAACTAAGGCAGTGTCCCAAGAGGCGATGGGGACCTCAACTCACCCTGGGCAGGTTTGCCGACTCAGCACAGAAAACATTTCATGGTAAGTCAGTGTGAGGCATAGGTAGATGATTTATTAGATAGAGTTAGAAAGTAAGAAAAAAGAGAAAAGTGATTTCAGCTTGAGGAACTGCTGGGGGCAGAGGTCTGATGAAGAGGTTCAGCCTGGCCTGCGAAGCAAAGATCATGACCAGCCTTCATGGGTCAGCTGGGCCAGGGTCCAGTTGATCATCTCAGTTCTGGTTTTGCCAGATGGCTTTGAAGAGGTTTTTCTTGTGTGAGGGCAAATTGGTCTCCAGGAGACGACGGTCTCTGCCTGGGCAGTCTAAAGCTTGTAGAGGCTCGGCTGGAATCCAAAGCGAAGGCCGGTATAGGGCAGTGACCGAGGTGTCTGGGTGCTTGTGGGTGGTTGGAGGTCCCTGTAAATGGCTTATCTCAGTGTTCTCAGTGTTAAGGACGGATGAGATAGGTTATGTATATTTAGAGCTAGTCAATCTTGCTTTGCTAACTTTCAGACAGACAACCCTAAATAATTAAAATACCTATATGCAGAGATGAGCAGGGATTTGACCCAAAGTTTTAAGGTAACAAAAGAGGCAGGTACAAAATGAAGGTCAAGCTTTGCTCTGCTTTTAGTTACCTAATGAGCATCTGTAGGCCCAAATGAAGAGTCTGGTTTATGTTTGTCTCATTTTGTTTTAAAATCACTTTAAAAGTCCCTGACTACCATAGAAGAAAACACAAATTATGATTTTAATCAGTAAAAGGTTAAAGGCCCAGGAATTTGTCTTCTGTCCCTGAGGTAATCTCTATGTCACAGAGAAGTTAATTAAATAGGCCCAAGATCCTAAGATTAGTGGCAGAGCTGAGCCTAAAGCCATGATATGTGACTTCAGAATCCACATCTTTAACTGCTAAATATAATAATTACGATGCAATGCCCCAGGGGGCCACCTGTGAGAAGGCCATGGAAATATATGAATGCTTCCTAGAGGCCAGGCCTGCTGG